ATGAAAAGGAGAAGGAGGGCCCTCGTGGTGTTATCTGATGCTGCCATCAGTATACACCGGGAGAGAGCATGTTATTTCGCAGCCATGCAGCAAACACTCCTGTCTTTTTATTAACCTGTGTGAACCTTTTTATTTATTTAAATCAAATCACAAATAAAAGCAAAATAAAGACAGGTATGTGAAAGTTTCTGTGTTGTGGTGGTTTATCTAAACAAGCTTTCATATAAAGAAAGAGTAATTCAAAAACCTCTCAGTGAGACATCCTATGTCATTAGGAATTTTAGCCTTTTTTTCCCCTGGAAGGTTAAAAAACACAGTTTGCTCAAGTAGAGATTGGACAAGGGGGAAAAAAAAAGAGCTGGCTCACCAGTGCAACATGTTTTACATAAAGTTCATTTGTTCATTTTACTGATACTTGAATCTGCTGTGCGCATGCAGAAATGAGCATCAGGAACAGGTTCTACTGTTGAAAAATTGGTGAATAAGCATTTTAAAAAATCAAAAATTAAAAAAAAAACTAGCTAAAACAGAACTAGTGCCTGTTTTTTAGTACTTTGGCATACAGTTAATATTTTCTGTCAGTGACAAATGTTTAGTACTCCTTTTTGGAAAGGTTATTTTGACTTCTGTATAATTTTAGAAAATACTCTTAAGATATTACAGGTACACCCTCATGTAAGATCAGTGATAACAAAATCACTGACTAGGAGTGACTCTTGCTATTCCACAGGGGCAACGATAAACTGTCATGAAAAACAAATTAGAGAGTCAGTTGTTATTTTCAAGTTTGCTTTGAGGACAGGATTATAAATATTAGATCTTAAATTGTCCTTTCAGGAGATTGTGATGGATGGGACTGAGCTTTTTTGTCTATAAATGTTCTCTCTAAGAAATATTTTAGGAAGTCAGCCAAATAATGGCCGCAGTAATTGCTATTGCATTGTGGAAATGCAGTTCAGGACTTAGCCCAACTGCTGTAATCATTCAGCTGGCTCATGGCAAAGATCTCATCGCCCACACTGGTGAGCAGGGGGGCATCTCTGTCTTAGCTGGTGACCACAGAGTCTCCATGCTTTAAGAGGGCTCGCCTGCTCTCTAGCCAAGTTTAACTTAGATCCCAGTGCTCACAGCTGTGACAAAGCTTAGGGGAAGGCTGAGGTAAGACAAGTAACACCTCAGCCCCTATGGCTCTGGACAGTCTCTCATCCGTTAGCAGACATGGGACTACTCCAAGCAATGTAGCCTTTGAAAACTCATTTCTGCGCAAGTTGGGTAGGCGTTTAGACCTGGAGTTCTTTTCTGGGTTTGAGTATGGCCTCTATTAGCATGGATAAATCAGTCTTGCTGCTAGTCCTTATGTGATGGGACATGATTCTTCATAGAGGGGTGGCTTTCTCACTGGGTTTTGTAATCATGATGATGGCCTTGGTTTTTGCTTGAGTCAAAGTTGAATTCAGGGTTCTGTGGTACCATCTGATGCATCTTACCTGTTTTTTTAATTTGTAGTGGCACAGTTGTTATAGGAGATACGTCATTGATGCCAGGTTAGTTAAAATATTTGGCATCTACTTTTCCTACGTATAATAGTTAAAGCGTTGCTAGGTTCCAGAAGAAAATGAGTGAACATTATCTGTTTTGCCAAACTCTACTTTTAGGCTGAGGTTGAGGTTGGCCACCAGAACCTGCTACACCAGATCTTGAAAGTCCAGTGGAACCTGAAATGTGGATGGGACTCCCGTTTTGAATGTGCCTCCATCCCACTGTTAGGGAAGGCCCTTCTCACTTGGCCTCCCGCCACAGGGCACCCTGGACAAGCCGTTCTTGGAATCTCTGTCAGGCTTTTCCTCTATGACTGGTGTTACAATGCCTATGTTCTGTGATCTCCTTGTGACACCTATAATCCTGCATGTGGGGAGTCTAGATGGTAAAGTGGTTTCAGAATAGAGTTGGCTTCCTCTCCCTTCCTTGAAATGATGGTAGTTAATTTGGGGGGAAGGAAAATAAATAAAGCTTTTTCCTCAAGTCACTTTTCTGCACCAATTAAACATCAACAACTCCAATATGCCATTCTCTGGGTGAAAGGGAATTATGTAGCATTTTTCTTCCCAAAAGGCATGGAACCTCAGTCAGTAAATAAAGGATCAACGATAACCGTAACAAGCTAAATGCCACCCTGGATGGTCCAAGGGCCAGGACACTCAAGTGGAAATATGAAAATGCATATCTTTATTTCTCTCTCTGCCAATTGCGTAGAAGCTGTTTCATTTTTCTGTTAAATGGGAGTCCACAGCAGCTCCTTGGCTAAGTCATGTGTTCCCTTCCCCACGTGTTCCAGACAAGTCACGAGTACTTGCTTTATGAGGGTCCACATGAAATTTTTGGAGCTTCGGACTAGAAAGCAAGCAGTTAAATTTAGAGTAAAGGGGAATATATTTCACAGAAAGCAAATGCTGTTTGTTTTTCATGTTTTCTTTGTGCATTTTGTCCTGCACAGAGAATTTTAGCATGTGTTGGTTCTAAATCTTAAGGGAATCTAAGCTTTTGTTGCTTTCCTTGGGTCATTCTGGATGATTGATTGTTGTTGGGAAGTGCTGGGTCAGAGCAGCCTGTTTCAAGCTGCTTTACTTTCTGCCTCTGATGAATGTGACCCTCCTACCACACCCTGCAAAATGGATTCTGAGAGCCCTTTGCTGCCCCAGCCCACACTTGGTTGAGTGGGTAGATACTATAGCCGCTGAGGTGGTTGCAGCCTTAGGTTGCCTGCTGAAGGCGTGGTTAGCTCGGGCTGGCAGGCATGTGGCATTTGGCATTTTAAACACTAGCTGTGCCACTCATCAGTGCTGTGCACTTAATCAGGTTACCTCACCTCTCTGAGCTTGGAGATCATACTTGTCTCAGTGAATCTTCGTGAGGATTAAAGAGAACATACTAAGTGCTACTGCAGCGCCTAGCACATAGCTGATACTCCATCAGTGTTGGCCTGCCCATCCTCCAAATTCACCTCAGGATTTTTTTGTTTAGTGATAGCACCAGCAGCTAGAGACATACTTCTGGTCTTTTGGGCCTTTATATGGAAAAACAAAAAGCAAAACCAGTTTCAGTACTTTCTACTGAAAACACTGTGGAAATTTTAGTCTCATGTTCCCCATTCTTAGCAGCTTGAGCTCTGGCCTAAGCATGACTAAAGAGCATTTTTCTTAGAATACTGTTTTTCAGCCTCCTGAGCCAGGCACTTGTGTCAACTCGTAGAACCTTAAGTCTGGAAAGATTTAAGGAGGAACCTAAGGTCCTATGAGAGGAAGAGACCTCACCCGAGGTAACTTGGTGAGTGGGTGAAGGGACCTCACCCCAGGTAACTTTGTGAGCGAGTGCGAAGCTGGAATCAGAACCCAGATCTCTTCCAGCTCTGCACATCCTGCGTCCCGCTGCAGTGGAAACTGGGAGGATTGTGTATCTCCAGCTAACCACCTGCAGAGAGCCCAGCCTCTCCTGGGACCTAGGAGGCTATGACCAGATGGATGGCATGACCCAGATGCTTGTGTCCCCAAGCCGAACCAGCTCTTTAAAACTTGGTTTTGGAAGGGCCAATATTCCTGACTTAGGTCTGACACTCCAGATAGTAGTCTGAGAAATATCTGCCCTCCTTCATTTATTAATTCAACAAATATTTATGTGGCATCTACTAAGGTCCAGGTACCATGCTGGGGCGATGTTAGCAAACAGTCATACTGAAAAGGGATTCTGATCACTGACAATCCTGCAACCCAGCCCTTTTATTTCTTTTCAAAACGATGTATCATTTTTAAAGCAATCAAATTCTGACCCTGCCTACATTCCGTCAAACTAATAGAAAATGTAATCTCAGTCATTCTTGTGCCTCCGTGCCCCAAATTTTGCCTCGCCTAGATTCAGGATTCTTAACGTAATTGTCAAGCATCAGAAAGTCCCCTCTGGTCATTTGTCTTGGGTATGGCTGAGGTATCTGTTCTCTTTGCCCATTTGATCTCTCTGGTCTGGGGGCCTTGCTGCCTGGGCCAGTTTGGGTGTAGGATCCTGGTGAGGCTGATTGCTAGTTACCTTTGCCCTTCCATGTCTTGGCAATGACCGGGTCCTGTCAAGGAGCGCAGACAAGGAGAATGCAGGGAGGGCAGAGGGAGCACGCGTCATCAAGCAGCGTGTTCATGTCGCTGCTTTTGGTGTTGGCACATCTTAGTGTCTCATTCTTAAGGGGAAAGCAAGACTATGAAGCCTCTTCCACCCAGCCAAGCAGCATAGGAAGCTGGAATAAACAAACCTTTTCATGTGTCAAGGGAGAGGCAGTGTGGGGGGGAGGAGGAAGAACACTGTAGTCCATCAGATTTGGTTTTAAATCTTGGCTCTACCTCTCACTAACCATGTGACCTTGAACAAGTCTCTTAGTCTCTGCAGTAAAATGGACATCAGTCAAATAGATTTGGTAACACTCACCTGGCTTTAGGGCAGAGATGAGGATTAAAGACAATGTAGAACAAGCTTCTACCTAGTACCATGTCTGGGACCTAGGTGCTGAGTAGATAGTTGCTGTTTCTAGTACAGTGCTCTTGTTGATACACATGTAGTTAGCCAGCAGCCACAGCACCGTTCATCTGAAATTAAGACGCATAAAGTGGTATATGAGGATCTTCAGCAGAGTGGTTGAGGTGTTGCAAAGGAAATAGGAAAGGTTTGTAACCTGGGTGGAGGAAGGTTGGCGCCAACTGATCTAACCATTGAAAAATGGGGAAATATCTCCCCAGCCTCCCCTCTTTTTGGATGGTGTGGTTCAGTGAGAAACGTTAACAACTTGAGGTGTACTATCTTTAGCCTGCTAATGTTTTGTATGGCAAGGACAACCCTGAGTCCTTGTCTGTGCACTGGGGTTTCCTTCTGGCTCACTGGGAACTGTAGATCCTTGCACTTGGTTTGGTTGTCAAGTTGCACTGCTGTGTCTCCCATCACTGACTGTCTGCACTCTCTTCCAGGGGCTCCACGGGCCTTACCCCTTCGGCCAGTCTTAAACGGGTGTCAGCAAGAAGAAAAATTAACAAAACACAGAAGGCCTGACTCTGGGGGGGAGGGGCAAGGGGTTCCTCTGGATTGCAGACCACATCGCACGGATCCCTGGCTCTGACCCCCCATCCCGGAAGAAGAGGAAGAAGCAGAACAGACTAGTTTTGAGTAAACTCAGTATGCATGTGTGAATGCTAAATTGCAGGAATGGTGTTGAGGCTACCGAGAAGAAATCCATGCAGCCACCTTGGGTTTATTAGGCGTCAGTCTAACAAGTCCTTAGGTCACTTGGGAAGGGAAAAAAGTTTAAAATGGGGGAAAAAAGCCATTTTTTTAAACAAAAATTATTTTGCCTACAGAGAGGTTGTAGTTTTGAGCACGTTAATTTTTTTCCTCTTCCCCTGCTTTTTTTTTTTATTACGGGATAACATACTCTTTATAGAATAGTGCTTGCTCTGGAAATGATTCAGGTTAAAAGCTGGCGTGGCATGTTTGGGGACTCTGCGGATCAGTGCTACCCGAGTACATCTGCTGTGCCACATGACTCCAGAAATCTCTGACCCCATTTGTTTTTAATGGCATCAGCCAATGAGTTATCACCTCTTTTCTCTTTAATCTTCTGTTGATTTACACCTTTGACATTTGCATTCATCAGCCCTGTGGCTTGTTAGCACCAGACCTCTCTGTGTGGCCAGCAGAGGAAGCCTTGAGGACAGATCTCGGGTGACGTGGGATTTTCTGAGGCCGAGGGGTGCCCTTCTGCACACTCTTGTAACAATTCAGATTGCTTTTCTTCCATGTTTCTCTTGGCAGAGAGAAACACCATCATGCTTACTGCTCTCTTGGATTCTTCACGCGGTGGCTCCCCTTTCGCTCTGGGAACAGTGCCTCTGTGCAGAGCATGTGTGCACGCCCGTGCACATGGCCGGGTGCTGGTGTAGCTCACCAGCAAGTGTGCAGCGGGCGAGCGTGACAGCGGCACATGCTTCTCTGTTGTCACACAACTCCTTCCCCTGTGTTTCCCTTCAATTAATTGTCCTTTGTGGTTTTCTCACAGCCTGTTAGTGGAGGCTGAGCTGTTAAGGTGTGAAAATACAGCCCCAAATGAGGACTTTGTCATGGAGAAGGGCCACAGTCACTGACTACTTGATCTTGGAGACCACATTTAGATAGAAATGAGAGGACTGCCCCCTGCCCCCTTCCGCATCAGAATGCTTGGTTATGGCTGAGGAGGTGGGCAAGGAGCAGCCCAGCTGGAGCAGAGGCTGATTGGCTGACTGCACACTCAGGCAGGTGGCCCCACAGGCATCCTGTGGATTCCAAGTAGGCTGAGATGTGGAGATCTCCATGGGAAGCTTGAACCAGGCTAGAACAGCTGTCTGCCAAAGATACAAGAATATGCAAAGTCCCTCTTCTCTTCTCACCCCCTCCTTCCCTCGAGTCTTAGTTGGTTTGAGAGCCAGGGATATGGATCCAGCATGCAGTTGCAGGGTCACCTGTGTGTTATTACACCCCCATTCCCCCCAGGGGTGTGAGACAAGCAGGCAGACCAAGTGGTGAGTGGCTGCAAGGGGTCATATAGCCTGGGTGTGGGTGAGGGTCTGCCTGCCTGTCTGTTTCTGTCTGGGTGTCTGAGTTCCAAAAATATGTGTTGTTTGTTCCTCCTCATCCTCTTTGGAGACTATTGTTTTTTAAAGCTTGATTGTAGGAGAAAAGCTTGTATGAAATTCCCCCTTTACCTCCCCACCCCTTAAAAATAAAAGGGGGAATCAACTTTGGTCCACTGGAGAAGCCCTGGGGATGAGTGGAGGTAGCCTGCTGAGAAGGGCGGTGCGCCTGAGTCTGGGGCTAGACTAGAGCTTACCCTGGAACACCTACTGTCTATGCACACACACGTGTCCCATTGCCTAGCAGAACAGAGGGGAGTCCCTCCTGGGTGCTCACACCACAGGGTTCAGGTTGGCTTTTTGTGTGAGGGCCTCAGTAGGCCCAGATTTCTGCTGCTGTTGGTGCCAATCTCCTGGGACACTGCCACCCTGGAGCCTGTACATACCCAGCTGTTCTTCCCACTTAACAGTCTCAAAGCAGCACATCTCCACTGCCCCTGGCAGAATCGTGGGAGGCTTCACAACCCCTGCTTTCCTGGCTTCCTCATCTGCCCCATGCTAGGTGCCCCTTCACAGTTTCCCAGCAGGGATTCCCTGACCTCAGCAGGGGTTTCATAGGCCACCATTAGTGTGTCTGGCCCTGCCAGATTATCCTGCTCCTTCTCCTGCTTGTAGGCAATCAACACCTGGCAACTTAAATGTCCTGAGCACCTTGGCTTCCTTCCTAAGAACAAACCATTTCTGTGCACATCCTTAGAAAGGTGAGCTCCTCGCAAGAGGGCCAGAGCAAGTGCAAGCCTAGGGGTAGGGTTAGGGGTGGGGGTCCATAGCATCCCCAGGCCCAAGAGGGTATTAGTACCATTCCTTCTCCCTCTCCTCACTAGTATGGGTCGGAGCAATGCCTAAAGCCCCTCTCTGCTCCCCTGCCTAATGGGTGGTATTGGCTACCTCTCAGCCCCAGTAGTCCCTGCTCCTCTTAGAATCTTCACCCCTGGGCAAAACCACCAGTGTCTGGCACCAGGAGGTGAGGCAGACACCATCCTCAGATGATAAGAGTCTGAGCCCAGTTGGGGAGACAGGGGCTCCGGCTTGGGAAGTACCTGTGTGCATGGAGTGAGGTGTGTGTGTTTGGATGTGTGTGCATGTGTGCATGCCTTTTTTCTTTTTGCTGTGGAGACAGTTGAATTTGGGGCATTTTTCTAGAAGTTGTCAGCCCTTTGTCCCCTAATAAGGCCTAGCTGTAACCTTAAGCCCATCAAAGGCACTTCCAGCCTGGAGAGAACCTCACCAGACAGCTGGTGTGGCCTGAGGGTGGCCATGGTGGGAAATGGGCATGAGAATAAACACCTCCCCAAATTCAATCTGAGCCCCAGCAGGAGAGGATGGCAGAGTTGCCAGGCTCAGAAGTGCAAGCTGATTACCCACCCTCCCCTGCCTCACTTCGTCTTTCCTTTGTTTCCTTGGGCGAATGTAGGAGCAGCAGTGGCTGCCCCTTCCACCTGAACAGTGGTGTGTGTAGCAAGCAAGCTGGGTGGGTGTTTGTGGTGGGGCCTCATGGTGCCTAGGAGGAGATGAAGATGAGATTTTTCCTTACTGTATAAATGAATATTTGTATGATTAAATTAACACACAAACAAAAATATTTTCATATGTGTCAGTGAGTTTTATTGCACCCTCAAGCCTCCTGTGACCCACATTGGCCCATAATAGCTCTGTGGTATGTGCTTTTTGGTCTCTGGCTCTTTCTCTTTTGCAGATGGGAGAATTGAGACCCTGAGGTTCATTATATATTTGGAAAATTAGTCCTGGGATTATAATGGGATCTGGTGCCTAGTGACCAGAAAGGTAAGGAAACCGCCTTCAAATGACCTTTCGGTCCCTAGGGTACTATGCCTCTTTTGATGACCAGTCTATCTCCAGCATACAAGAAATACCAGACAGATTAGTGTTGATCAGCTAGCAAGCACTGTTTGGGTCCTTGCTGTGTGTCTAGCGCATAGCACAGGTACAAGAATCCCATAGGAAGAAAGCAGAGCATCACGGGCATCTTCCTACTGGGAAAGCAGATACGCCAGAGCTGGGGACTCCTCCCTGATTCCCATCTGGACCCCTGGCATCCTAGATTTCGAAGAGGAGTGCATCTTATGTGCGTTCCATGGTGGTGGTTAGGTATAGTTCCTGGGTGCTCAGGGTGCTCCTTCTGTTGTTTTTTTTTCTTTTTTATGGATTAGGTAGGATTTTGTGAGCTGGACTGGGAGCCTGAGAGGTAGAGACCACACGCCAGGCAGCTGGCAAACAAACTTGGAACCCACCCCGCACACTTACATGAGATAGCCCATGACCTTGGTGGGGTGAGGAAGGTGCTACATGGTGGTCAGAGAGCATTGAGCAGGAGTCAGATAACCTGAAAAAAACTTAAATGGCAAATGCAAGGGCAAATGGTGGGGTGACTGGCTCCATCCCTTCATATGGGTAGTGCTCTTCAGAGGTCAGAGCTCAGGTTTGTCCTCAGTCACGTCATCACCCCTCTGTGTTGAAGAGAGTGAGATCACAGAGGAAAGGGAGTTGCCTGAGCCACAGCTTAATGGGTGAGTCAGGCTCGGATCCATGGCCTCCCAGGTGCTAGCATTAGTTTCACTTAACTAAAGAGCTAACTTTTCTTCTACAAACCCCTACATTGGGCCTTCACCCTGCTTCGCAAAGCTGTGTGTTCTAAATGATGATTGTGAGCGAGGGATCTAGGGTGCAGGAGTTGGGGGAGAGGATCCCCTGACCACCGCCCTGTAGGCCCCTAAGTGAAGGAGCCCATGACCAGAGATTGCATGAAAGAAACAGGTCCCACAAAGAGACCAGCTACAGAGCCTGAGGTAAAGGAGACTGGCTCAGAGAACCCTGGGGCAAGTGCCCCCAGCATGATAGTGCACCTGCTTGCTTCCAAGTGCCCACAGCTGTTTGTTCTTGGCAGGGGAGGGGCTCCCACCCTGTCATCTGTGTCTTCTGGCAGCTCAGACCTGCTCCCAGGCCTTCTTCAACACCCCTACAGCTGAGCAGTTATTTGCTTGGCAGAATCTGTTTGTCTTTGGGGCTGTAACCTGTCAAGAAGTCACCAGGCCCTGAGAGAAAGGAGCAAGTTTGATGGTAGCTCCTGACCAGAGCCATTCCCACGGGGGCTAGGTGACAGGGAGGGGGCTGTCAGCTGGGCCTAGGAGATAGGGGGAGGCAGTTGTAGTGGTCCAAGCCCAGCCCTCCTGGCAGAGCAAACAGGCACTCTCAAGCTACCTCCCTGCCCCAGCTCAGGTTGTACCTGGGTGCCTCCCACCCTGTTCCTGAGAAGGCCCCTCCCTCACCTGCTTGCTGTGACCCAGCCATTTCCCAGACACCACCTGGTGTCCAGCCCTGTGTGGCTGCCAGGAGAATAGGCATGGAGGTCACTCATGGTAGCCTCAGATTTCACAGATGGGAAAGGAGCAGGCAAGATTGCTTAGAGATGGAGGAGAGTGTGTGTGAGGTTGTTTGGAGAATGGATTCGGACCAGGCCGCATGGCTGATGGGCCTCAGGTGCCTCGTCTGTAAAGTGAAGATGTGCTAGTTTAGAAACCGGGACCTGGAAGATGAATGTTTATATATAATTATGGTATAATTATGGTAATACTGGCTGCCCATTATTGACCAGCTCATATTGAACTGTTTATTTATATGCATTACCTCATTTAATCCACAACCATCCAGATGAGGCAATAAAGAAAGGTCAGGTAAGCCTGGTGCTTGGTTCGTGAACGACCAGCTCCTCTAAATGTCACGAGTCCTGTGGAAGTGGAAGTGTAGCTGCCCGGGGAGCATGAAGAAAGGGACCTTAGTCCAGGGGTGTCCGAGTGGCTTCTCTGAGGAAGTGACACTTCAGCTGAGACCCAAAGAATGGGGAGATGGGAAGGGGTTGGAGGAAACGGCCTACAGGAAGATGGGGCGAGGGTGGTGTACTAGAGACACCGGAAGGAGCTGAGTGCCTCTGTGAGGAATATGCCTTCTGGATGGGCCCATTTCTGCCTGTATCTGGGGGAGGAAAAGATTATGGAAACAGAGGCTTCCCAGTTACTGCCCAGCTGAGCCCGGGAGAGCTCTGCTGCCCTTGCCCCTTTGCAGTTCATTTATTCATGTGTTGAACATTTACGTGCCAGGTACTAAGGTGCTAAGGATGTAGCAGTGACCAAAAGAGACAAAAACCCCTGCCCTCGTGGAGCTGCGTTCTAGTTGGAGTAGACAGTCAGTAAACGGTGTAGTATGTCAGGAGGTGACAGGTGCTATGGAGAGAAAGCGCAAAGAAGGATAGGAGTGCTGATGAGGGAGAGAGCATTGCTATTTTATACAGGATGGTCAGGGAAGCCTGAATTAATATGCAGAGACAAAGTCTTGCGGGTATCTGGGGTAGGAACATTCCAGGCAGAGAGAACAGCAACTGCAAAGGCCCTAAGTAGTAGGAGATGAGGTCAGAGAGGTGAGTGGGTCAGATCGTGTGGGGCCTCGAGGTGACCGAAATGGCTTTGGCTTTCGCTCTGGGCGAGATGGGAGCCATTGAAGGGTTGTGAGCAGAGAGGGGGCCCTGAATACCTTGAAAGAGCCCCCCAGCTGCTGTGTTGAGAATAAACGGGTGGGGGCGGGCAGACACAGGGAGACTATTAATAGTAAGGTGGTTGCTGGGTGGGGTGAGTGGAGGAGGTAAGAAGTGGTTAGATCCTCAGTACGTGGGAAAGTTGAGCCTACAGTATTTGCTGATGGTTTGGATGCAGAGTATGAGGGGAGGGAGAAATGACTCCTGAGATTTGGGCCCAAGCAACTAGAATCTACTTACTGGATTAACTAGTCTGGAGTAACTGGTCTAAGTTACTCTTTGCTAAGACAGGACTACATGAGGAGTGGGCTTGAGGGGAGAAATCAGGAATGCTTTTCGGACCTGTTCAGTGTGAGATGCTCATTAGGCATCCAAGGAAGGTGCTGGGCCAGCAGGCGGCTAAACAAGGCTGCAGTTCAGAGGGAAGGGTTGGGAAGTCAGCAATGAGATGGAATTGAAAGCCTCAGGACTGGTGGAGGTCATCAGAGGAGAAAAACTGGACCTTAGCAGTCGGACCTTATCAGTCATGCACTCCCTCAAAAGCCTGCTTTTTGCCCCAGCTCCCTCCGTGAGGGTCTTCTCTGACCAAGGAGGCCCCTCCTCAGGCTCGGAGCTCTCATGGTTGCAGTTAACCCTTCTCCTGTCCTGGCAGTCTCTGTCCTGTCCCCAGACCCCTGTGCCCCATTCCTCTCCCTGCTGATCACAGCAGATAAGGTGAGGGGCCGGGTGCTGTCCAGGCCAGGGGTGGCCCACCCAGGATCCAGGTGGTAGGGGCACGGAAGAGTAGAGCCAGAGCGCCCGTAGGTCAGAGCTTAGCTCCTGTGGCCCTGTCCTCCCAAGGATGGTCTAGGGCCCGAGACCCAAGTCCTAAATAAAATACCTCCTGTGGGGCTGTGGGAGAGAAGGGGGAGAGAAGGGTGGGTTGTGTCTGAGGGGGCCTAAGGAGAGAAGCCCTGCAGGCGCCATGCTTGCCTGCACCAAGCTCTCAGCCCTGGTCAGCAGTCCAGACCCCCAAGATCCCTGGTGGGCTGGAATGTCACCGCTCAGTGCCTCTGAGCACCTCTCAGGGCAGTGGGACAGAGCAAGGGCTGGGAGGGATTTTAGCAAAGCTGCGAGGAAATCCTCATCTCAGGTATGGCTGCTCTGAGCCATTTGAGGGCGCTGGAATGTAGCCCGCTCAGCTGTCGTGCTCAAGGCCAGCAGAGGGCGCCACACTCCTCAGGCCTCACCTGGAAAGGATGGACACTACCTGGCCTGGCCTTCCCTGCAAGTATGTTTTGCAAATTCCCGCTCCTCAAGGGCAAGTGTTGCTTCTGCTCTCTGTTCCCAGGTAGGCAAGCTTGGGTTTGCATCCAGGCTCTGCTGCTTATCAGCTATGTGACGGGCCAGTTTATTTAGGCACTCAGAACCTCAGTGTCCTAATGTGTGAAACGAGGAGTTTCTACCCCAGAGGTGACATAAGAATTAAAACCACCATAAAAACGTTTAGCATCATATACCTGGCTCATGGTATTTGATACGTGGTGACAATTGTTATATTATTATGACCTGGATGTGGCAAGGCCTGGGCCCCTGAGGATAGGGGGCAGGGATGCTTGCTGGGTGTTGGGCAGGCAGAGTCCAAAGAATCTGTGGCCTGCTCAGGGGTCTCTCCCTGGACCACAGCTCTTACTTCTAGCAAACCATTGCCTTGTGAATATTTCTTGGTTTGGAGTGGGAGGTGGGATGCAGGAA